CGTGGCTATCCCTCATACTTCGGTTGGCAAAATGCGTGTGAGACCTGGCCGCCCCCCGAGCTGAGCATCGGACCAGAGGCCCAGGGGTGGGAGGCAGCAGGGGCCCCAGAAACTCCCCCACCAGGTCCCAGGGTGCCCAGAAGGGAAGCTGCTGCTTGTCACCTCTTGAGGTGTCAGCGTGGCTGCTCCCAACAGAGACCAAATAGCCAGGCTCTCTGAAACTGCCATCCAGGCAGGGGGAGGCACTGGTGCCAGCCAGGGGGGTTCTCTGGGGTAAGAAGGGGTGCCTGGGTTTGTGATTTCTCTTCTGGGGTCCTGGAAGTCCTTCCTGCTTCTTCCTGGATTCTCTACTGAGTTTCTGATGGGTAGAGGTTCCAGGAGGCGCTGTGTGTGGGATGGATGGTCAGAACATGGGGCGGTCCCTTCTTGTGGGGGATGAGGGACCAGGACCGGAGGAGGTGGTGCTCCGGGAAATGCGGGGCCCCTCCAGGTCCCTCGGGCAGGTGCCTGTTTTGGGGACTGAGGCACCAGGAGCACATGGAGAGGAGTGCATCCATGCCACGTGTCCTGCTCCCAGTTTCCGCTCCCAGCCTGGTGAACGGGTGTATGGCTACTGTCTCTGAGCCCTGCTTTCCCATGAAGTTGGAAGGCTCATCTTTTCCTGATTCCAGGCTGCCCTTCTGCCCTCTCACCACCCCCCACCCAGGCCCTAGCCAGGCCAGACCACCAGCTGCTAGCCACCAACCCCCTCCACGCCTTCCTGGGTGGACACCTCTGTAGTTCCTGCCCAAGTGTGGACCTTGGGGTAAGGTGTTCCTCCAGGGCCCTGGAGATGGGGCCTGTGACCTTGCAGTGCCCACCCCTGCTCTGCTGCCCCGGCTGCTGCCCACCCCAGCGTCTTTCCTTCCTTCCTGTAGGTCAAGGCCCAGCGTGAGTCTGTCTGGCCTCCAGGGACCCGAGAGGGAGGGTGACCAGCTGGCCGGGCTTCTCCAGCACAGTTCCTGTTTTCACATGGAAAGCCCCACGTCCCAGGCAAGCCGGGGCCTTTGGCACCTCTTTGAGGGTCCCAAGAGCAAGGTCCCCTGGTCCTCCTCTCCTCTGGTCGTGGTAGAAAGGGGACACAGCCATCCCACAGTGTACCCCAGCCATCACCTGAGGGCCCCGGGGTCTCCGGTCCACAGGCCTCTCTCCCTGAGGCCACCTCCAGCAAACTTCTCGGCCATGCTTCCCCGTCAAGACTCTTTCTCTCTCAGCTGTGGCCATCGGCTGGCATGAGCCCCTGGACTGAGTGACTCACACCTCACCACGTGGGACCCTGCATCCCAGCACTGGGCCAGGTGCAGGGCGGAGCTACTGGGTGAGAGGTGGGACCCCAGGCCTGTGCAGCCTGCTGCCCTCCTTCTGCCTGGACGCTGGGGCCAGGGGTCCCTGCATCACTAGAGGCCAGCAGAGAAGCCCCCTTTGGCTGGCAGAGCCTCCTCTGGGGATGTGGCCAGGCCATGTCCTGAAGGCCTCAATCCCATGAACCCACCCACGGGGTGAGTTGGAACCAACACAAGGCCCAGCCCCTGCCCCCTCCTCTGAGAAGCCCCTGCCCCCTCCTCCGAGAAGCCCCTGCCCAGACTCCAACCCCAGGGGCCTAGTCACAGACTCCAGTTCTGGAAGGTTTCTCGGCACCTGCCAGCCCAGCCCCTCCTGTGGCATCTGCAGAGGGACTTTGCACCCGCCTTCCCAGACCCTTAACCCAACTGCCTCCAAGATGGTGCTCACAAACTGAGGCCAGGCCCCCGGTGCCTGCGGTGGGCTGGGGTGCCCCTCGTAAGGATGCGACTTCAAGGACAGCTACCAAGCTGGTCTGAGCTCCTGGGGATGCTGTGAGGGGCACAGGTGCTGCTATGGGGTCTGGACACACTCCTGCTGGCCAAGGCCTGAAACTGTGCCTCACCTGGGCTGGGAAGGTAAGCTCTGGCGGAGACCTGCCCCTAGCCCTGGTCCTGCCCCAGCCAAAACCTCCTTGGCATCCCTGAAGAGGTGACGTTGAGGTGGGCCCCTCGGGGAATAGTAAGAGTAACAGGCACTGTTCCCTGGACCCGCATCAACCCCCTCCTGCGTTCATCTCGTCCTGAGTCAGGGCCCTAAATACTATCTCGATGCAGAAGACGCCCTGTGGTACCCCCAGCTCAGACCCCACGCTCCTGCACCTGTGTGTGATCCACATCTCCACCCCCTCGAGCACTGAGCCCCAGCAGGTTCTCCCCTCGAGATCCCACACTCACACCCTGGTTCCTTCCCGGCTGACGGACACCACCCAGACACTCCGTCAGCTGCTCCTTTCCCAGCTTTGCAGACTCTCCCGCTCCGCTGCCACCTCCTATCCAAGTCCACGTCCCCCGCCTCAGGACTGCAGAAGTGTCTCTACACTGGCCCACCCCGTTTGGTCCCTGATCTGCTAGAGGTTCCTTCTAGAGCAGAAGAGCTTAGGACCCTGCCACGTCTCCACGGCACGCAGAGCCAGCCTACGTGCTTGCAATCAGTGTATCATTTCCTTATGCGTCCCACGTATTGGGTACTATCTGCCCTCTCCCACACACGCAGACCCACGTGCATACACACACGCCTGTACACGCCTGTGTCGCAGCCCATCGCCAGGCAGTGGGTGTGTGGTGGTGGTAGGGGGGACTCCAGCCCCCTGGATCCTGCCAGCTCATCCTTAGGACTGTGCAGAGGTGTCACCTCCTCTGAGAAGCCCTCCTCCCCAGCCCTGCTCAGATAAGCCTCACCCAGAAGAACTTCAGCACGTTTCTCTGAGAGGCTGTGGGTGCCCCGGGGCTGGGAGTGGGTCCAGGGGGAGTGCAGTTGCAGGGCTAGGAGAGCACTTTTCCCACACTCCCTGGGACCAGGAAGCTCCCTGCCCACAGAGCCTGTCATGACAGATACTTAGGCTGGATCCCATCGCTTCTGCTCCAACCAGTTCCATGCCACCCGTAGGCCCTGCGTGACGCAGGGAGAGATGAGTAACCAGCCCCTTCCTGCCCACCCCGCGCATCTGGACTGAAGTCTTCCTCCACCTCAGGCCCACTCCCCCTGCAGACTGAGGACCCCCTGAAAGGCCCCACAGCAGGCCTGGGGCTCCCGGGCTCCAGGCTTAACTGCTGGACTTTGGCCTGCCCTCCCGGGCCCTGCAGGGGCGGCTCCGAGGCCGCCGGCCCCTCCTGTCTCAGGCTTCTCGACCCTGAAGTTAGAAAACTGGTGAGCTGTGGTTAGCGCACGGCAGAGGGGATGTTGGTTTTGACACTTGGCCTGGCTCTGGGCTGCAGGGCAGGTGGTGGAGTAGCAGAGTCCTGCATGGGCATCTGGTTACTTATCTGCGAAATCGTGCCTGGACCCAAGGGGGAGTCTGTTTGCCCCCCGGGGGGCTCCGGGTGGCTGCAAGGGGGCCCCGCCCGGTCCCGCGGAGGGACAGCGTGAAGCCATGTGAACCTGCACACCGTGGGCCTCTGATGGCCTTGACCAAGCCGGTGAGGTCGCCGCAAAACCGGAGCTTCAGGAACTCCTAGCAGCCTCCTGCTCTGGGGGGAGGGGGGAGGGCGGACAGTGGTGGTAGTCGCACAACAGTGTGACTGTGCTTAGTACCACTGACTGTGCCCTTAAAAATGGTTAAAACGATCAATTTTATGTTACGTGTATTTTATCACAATAAAAAATAGATATTGGAGACAAAAAAAAAAAGATCCATCCTCCTCCTATTCTCTGGAAGGTGTGAACGTGGCCTTATTTGGAAAAAGGGCCTTCACAGCTGTAAGGGGAGGATCCCTAGGTGACATCATCCTGTGTCGGGTTGGGCCCCAAACCCAACTTCAGGCCAAAGCCCACCCAAGAGTCCATCCGGTCCTCCCTCTTGAGACTCACAGCACATAACTGCCCACGAGCCCACAGCAACTGGTCACTGCAGGCCAGGGAGCCCCCCCCGAGAGGGCGGGTGCCCGAGCCCTGCCCCGGAAGGGCCAGGCCGGAGCTCACCCCAGGAGGGCTCGCCTCACCAGGACGGTGCCCAAGCGGACCCCTGCGAAGGCAGGTACCCGAGCTCGCTCCAGCAAGGCGGCCCCTGACCCACACCCCGCGCGGTGTCGAGCCCCTGCCAGCCGGGTGCCCCTGACCCGCTGCTCTCAGCCTCTGGCCCGCTCCCCGCCAAGCTCCCCGCACCCCGGGTCCCCTCCTTGGTGTCACCCCATCCCCACCACTGGCCCAGGTTCTGAAGGCCGCCCTTTGGCCCAACCGTACAGCCGGGTGTTCATCTGGCAAAACTTTGTGGAGGCCTCCGTGGAACCGCGGAATCTGGCGCCAGCCGATGGGGGTGGGGGGAGCAGACAGGGTCCTGCTGCCGGAGGTGAGGTGGAGCTGCCCTTCCCCGGGGCCTGCAAGGCTGAGCCGTCGCCCAACCCCACCCCCAGGCCACTCCAGAAGCCCCTCGGGTTCTGGCTGGAGGAGCTGGGCAAAGTAGGCCGCACTCTGAAAGCCGCTCAGTACTGGTGGGGGGAGGGTGCACTGTGGGCCTGAAGATCCCCCAGACCCCCAGCACAGAGACCCAGCCAGCCCCTTAACCACAGGAGTCACATACCTGAGCCGCAGTCGGCAACCACTCTGGGCCTCTGTTTCCCTCTAAAAATGGGGCACTGAGACCAGCCCATGCTGGAGGGGAGGGTCCCTGTCTCCGGTTCCATGGTGGCTGTGTGCCCAGAGACCCAGAGCTGTCTGTCGTGGAGGGGGAGAGCCACTTGTGGTCTTCTCCAAGAGCCAGATGGGCCCTAGGTCGCATGGCGAGGGGCTGGAGATGCCCCGTCCGGCATTCCCGTCCTCTCCCACGGGCCCTCTCAGGGCCGCCTGCCTCCTGCCCCATGACTCAGCACCTTTGCCCAGCACAGCAGGACTTTTGCCCCCTGCCCGCTCCTCCAGCCTCCTGTTCGGATCCCTACGGGGTCTCCCAGCAACACCTGCCTAGGATGCGGGAAGTCAGGGCCTCCAGGGGCCAGGGCCAGTCCCCCAACTGGACTGGCACTCTGGACCTGTCCTGGGTCATGCTGCTCATGTACGTGCTGGCAGCCCTGGAGCTCGCCTGCCTCTTCATGCAGTTCTCCGTCTTGCCCGTGAGTACCCCTCCACAGGCAGCCTGGCCACCGGCCTGCCCTCGCCACCCCTCTCACCTTCCATCTCCGCCCTGGTGGTGGCCGGGGGTCGGGCCTCATGCTGCCCAGGCTCCTCTCGCTGGGGATCCCTTGCCATGCTGGAGCTAAGTTAAGGAACCTGGGAACTATGCCTCTGGACACCCCCCTTCAGCACGTCCTGGGCTCTGGCTGCACCACCAGCTGTCCCCATGACAGCCCCCCTCCCCACGGCTGCCCTAGCGCTGTACCTCCCGCCCCACCTGGGGGCATTGGCCTACTGATCCGCCAGCCCGACACCTGCTCAGCTCACTTTCTAGTCCCACTCAGGCCTCTGCTCAGGTCTCCTCCGGGGCAGGGCCCTCCCTCCAACACCTGCCAGGTACCCGGGGTCACTTGCCCTCCCGTCCTGGCTGGTCCGTCTGCACGCAGCTTGCCCACGCCCCTCATGGCATTAGACTACTTCTGTCTCTCCAACAAGGATGTGAGGGCAGGACTGATCCAGCTCATTCTATGCCACCTCCCTGGATCTGGAACTCTGCCTGGCCATAACTGCCCCTTGGTTTAAGTGGCCATTGTGGCTTGCTGGGCCCGGGCACCCACCCTCCTCCTCCGTGCACTCTTGTTTATTCATTCAGCATCGCCCTGTGGGGTCTCATCCTTCTGGGGCAAGAGCACCCAGGGGACTTTGGAAGACCCAGAGCCCCAGAGATCCTTATCTGTCTGGTCTGGGTGGGACCATGGCACTAGCCGCTGGCCACTCACCAGGAGATTCTGATGAGCAGCCTGGGCCTGGGGATCTGGGTGGGAGGGGGTATTGCCTTTGTCACAACTCCGGCCTTGGCAGGGCTCCCTGGCCAGACAGTGAGCCCAACTCCCCCGCTTCCCAAGCCCAGCTCACTTCCACCGAACGGCTTAGTCTGAGCCCTTTCTCCTCTCCTTGGCAGCCAGGTACCTTGCTGTCCTCATCATAACATGGGTGACGACCATCCCTCCCTTGGAGAGTTGGTGCTGGGGCAATGAGAGAACAGTTGAAATCCTTAGCACGCGGGGCACAGAGCAGCTGCTGGTGCCACCTCCCCTCCCACTGGCTCTCCCAAGAGAGGCATGTGCTTGTTCAACAAATGCTCGCAGGTACTCTGAGCACCTGGTCTCAGAACTCAGAATACAGCAGAGTGCAAAGTGCACCCCTGCCACTGGCAGTCCTGGACGTTGGTGACACCCACCGGCAGTAAACAACGCATAGTTAGACTGTGCTGCAGGAAGGGCGCTGGGGGTGCCAAGGAATGTGGCAGGTTTGGGGTCAGCAGGGCCTCCCTGAGAAGGCGACCCTGAGCGAAGCCTTAAAAGAGACACGGGAGTGAGCTAGCCAGTGCAAAGGCCCTGGGGAAGTAGTGGGACAAGTGCTGGAGAGGGGAGAAGGAGCTGAGCCCAGGAGTTGCTGATGGACGGGATACAGGTGTGCAAAAAACAGGGGGCTCAGGGATGACACTGCGGATTTGGACCTGAGCCCTTGGAAGGGTGAAAGCATCTACGGTGGAGCAGAGGAGCTGGTCTCGGAGGGAGACCGGGAGAGTCAGCTCTGGACGTGCTAAGCTCCAGGTGCTTTTAGACACCACGTGCAGAGCCAGAGTAAAATGGGACTTGCCCTCGCCCATTTGAGGTGTACCCCAAAGAGGGGAAGGAGGGGCCCGCAACTGCCTTCACCGAGTACCAGGTCCCTGGAGCCTGGACCCAAAGCCCCTGTTGGGCTCCCCGCTACAAGATAAGCAGCCGGTTACCCCAGGGCCACTGAGTGCCAGGGCCACGGGTTCCCCCATGTGCACTGCGGAGTGGTCAGAGCCAGACCCTCAATTCCCTCCCACCCTGCTCAGGGCTACCCTTCCTATGCCCTGCCCATGGAGGACCCCAGATTGCAGATGCTGGGGTCCTTCCAGGCCCTTCCCATGGACCCCGCCTATGTTTCAGTACCTGTCCTGGAGGCTGGGCCTGGACTCTGTTGCCTTCGGCTACCAGCAGACCATCTTTGGCGTGCTTCAGCTGTTGGGCGGGCCCGTGTTTGGCAGGTATCATGGGGCAGGGAAGTTTGGGGGCCCTCACCCCATGATGATCCAGGCCCACCCTTTGGAGGTCACGGCCTGGGTTATGCCAGGTTCCCAAACCTCACACTGGGCCCCACTAGAGAGATGGCAGCCGCTGCTTCAGGGACGGCCAGCCCGCAGCACAGAGCGGCTTTAGTCCCTTTAAGACTGGGTTAAGCCCCTGCTCCCAGGGTATCTCCACCCCTAACTTCCACGAATTCTGGTTTGTGGCCAGACCCAGAGAGAGGATTTAATTGGTGAGACCCTCATGGCTATAAATGCCCCGCCCCACTGAGCCAGGGGGTCCCACCAGCAACTTTTCTGGAAAAGAATATTCTGGGGACTGGAACCCCCCAGACTCCCGCTAGCCTCAGCGGGGGCGCTGGGCTCAGGGACGGGACAGCAGACATCCTCTCGCAAAGCCTGCCATGGACAGATCAACGTGACAGGAGTCAGATTTCTAGAGTTACTCCACAGAAAAGAAGGGTCTCCAGACCCGGTAACATCGGACAGAGCAGAGGCCCCGGGGTGGAGGGGGGGGGGGCGGTTTCCCAGGCTTCAGCCTGGGAAGCGCTTTCTGTAAAAGAAGCATGTGCCCTTTGGTACATTTTCATCCCACAAGTTATTCACATAGGCGTGGGAATGACCGTGTGGGTCAGACCCCCCCGAGGTCACTGAAAACTGTCCCACTGGAAGGATGGAGGAACAGGCCCGAGAGGAGGCAGCCCAGAGGCCCAGCAGGGCCCTGGGCGCCCCCGCCAACCCTTGCAGCACCGGGCCTCCCTGATCAGCCCCGTGGGGGGACTGCGGCCTGGTTCCCCGGCAGTCCCAAGGGGGTGTTGTGGGGCCGAGGAGCGGGAAGCCTGCCTCACACCTGTGAGGGTCACAGGTGTGTGGCCCCCAGGTTCGCAGACCAGCGCGGGGCGCGGGCAGCGTTCACGCTCTCCTTCCTGGCGTCCTCAGCGCTCTACCTGCTCCTGGCTGCCGCCTGCAGCCCGGCCCTGCCCGGCGCGCCCTTACTCTTTGCCTCGCGCCTGCCCGGCGCCCTCATGCACACGCTGCCAGGTAGGGCCAGGTAGGGCGCCTTCCGGCCTGCTGGAGGACTATGGGTGGGGGGCGGGAAC